CCCCAAAACCCCAAAACCCCAAAACCCCAAAACCCCAAAACCCCAATTTTTATTTAAGCTATAGAAAATCTAACAAAATAATAAAATAAATGAGAGTGAGTTATTTACCTATACTTTTGTTGCTTTGCATCATGCTTCAATGTAAGTCAAGATTTTGCAAGAAAATTAGAGGTCATATTGTTATATAGGCAAATTGTGACAAGCTAACGACTGCTTCAGTGCAATATTCTCAAACCCTGACGCCATTTTGCCGATGGTAACTGCTACCGGCAAGAATATCAATGATCTGGGAGACTTTGACGCGTGCACTCTTCATCCTGGCACAGATTATGCTTTATTATATTTAAATGGAGCACCTATCTTCATCGGATTATGAGTACCATCAAGTTGTCAAAAGGAGGATCTTTCAGTTTTAGCCGATGCATTGACTAAAATGGCTGAGCAAAATCCGATTCCAGGGTCCCCCAATCCCAAAGGAGCCATCCATTTCCCAAATAAAGAGCCTGCAAAGGTCACAACTGGCCATGTCTTCGGATTCATAGGATTCGGATTATTCTGGATGTGCTTTATAATAGGCCTCTTTGTTGAGTACACTTCTCTATTCGGGACACAATTGAATTATACTCCAGATATGAGCGATGCTCAAAAAGACAAAGCTCTTGTGAACTCGAAGGGTCTTCTTGGGAAAATCTTCCTATCCTTTTCTCCTTCCAGAAACTTGAAGAAAATGTTTTACTCTCCACAAAAAGATGACGACTACTTAACAGTATTGAATGGGATAAGAGTAATCAGTATGTACTTTGTAATCTTAGGCCATGCCGCAGGGATCATGGTCAATGGAGGAGCAACTAACATTGTTGATACATTCTCAATTATATCCACTTGGTGGGTAATCCTCATTGGTACAGGATTTTATTCTGTGGATACATTCTTCTTCCTTTCCGCCTTCCTTGCTACATACTTAATGATAGGAAAGTTCTACGGAAAGAGAATGTTTAATATCCCAATGATATACTTACACAGACTGATCAGAGTCTGGCCAACCATCCTTCTCCTAACTCTTTTCATAATAACTTTCTTCGTGTTTATGGGGTCAGGACCAGTCTGGCTGCCATTTGCTGAGAGAGAAGCTGCTAATTGTAGGGAGTCATGGTGGGTAAACCTCCTGTTTATTACTTCTTGGTACCACTCTGCTCCATGTATCTCCCAACTCTGGTACCTAGCAAACGAGATGACCTTCTTCATATTTGTACCATTGATAGTGCTAGCATACTTAAACTCGAAGATGATTGGTTATCTAATTGTAGGCTTTGCCAATGTGATCTCGATCATTCTTCCTTTTATATTCTCGCATGTCAGAGGCCATGGAATCTCAATTCTGACCACTCCTGCCCAAGAATACGTGCCTGAGATATATAATTATCCTTATACCAGGACAGGATCTTATTTTGTAGGAGTGTTGTTTGGCATTCTATACTTTGAATGGAACAAATCCAGAACTGACCCCTCATATCAGGTGACAATAGGGGCCAAGATATACAATACTATTAAGAACTCGACAGTTCTGTGCTACATCTGCATTGTGATGGGAGGACTTGTGATGCTCTTCTTCATCTTATTCCCAAGAATAGAGCTCAAGGATATTTCTCAAAGAACTATTGGGCAGATTCCTAGCGACTTCTTCAATGCATTCCATAGAAGTCTTTTTGTTACAGGGATGGCAACTTTCCTCGCTCCAATGATGATAGGCAGGATGACTCTTTTAAAGGACCTCTTTGGAGGCAAACTTTGGGCTCCATGGGCTAAGGTGACGTTTATGTCGTTCTTAATCCATATCCATGTTTTGGGCTGGTTCTTTGCCAAATCAAAAGCAAGTATTTATATCGATGGTCCAGCTAACATATTCGGATCTTTAGCTACGTTCTTAGTGACTGTGCTTGTCTCGATTCCCTTTGCACTCATGTTTGAGTCTCCAATTCTTCAATTTGAGAGACTTGTGCTATTTCCTCCTAAAGCAAGGCCAGCACTCGTAAAGAAAGAATTGCTAGAAAAATATCAAATCAACGAAACAGACGAATCTGAACTTACCAGGGATGATAAGGAATTTCCACATAAGATGCATTAAGATTCTTCCTTCAACCGCGAACTATTTTTCTGGGGTTTTGGGGTTTTGGGGTTTTGGGGTTTTGGGGTTTTGGGG